GATGACTGGTTAATTATTAGATGTGAGGTGGTTTACTTACTTGTGTTGTTGTGCTCCTCCTCAGCTTGAGCTGCTGCTGCCACATCGTGTCCACTTCCCCTCCTGCTGTCTTCTCCTGCAGTTTGTCACTTCTTACAGACGCCATAACGCTGCTGTGGGTGTGTCCGTTTAGGTCACCCAGGTGTGCTTCACTTTGTTCTGCAGTGGAGTTTATCTCTCACATTCCCTTTTTTTTTCTGGCCGTCCTTTCCACCTTTTTTTCTCACCTTACAGCTTAGGTTTAGCTGAAACTACTTCAGTTTGTTGTTAGCCTCGTCGGCGCTAGCTAGCTGTCGCACCGCACCGGCCTCCTCAGGTAACTCACTGACAGTATTATCCATCCTGCTCAAGCCCGCCGGCTCCTGACTCACAACTCATTCGTCAAAACCTCTCAGAATGTGGCAACTTTTAGACTTCTGGCCATGTTTGCTTTATTTTAACACTGTGGCGACATAAACTGGCGATGCTCAGCAGTTCGCGGTAAAGTTTAACTCGTGTGCTCCTGAAATAAGGACGTTTGATTTGTTCGCCTGCTCCTCCAGGGCGAAGTTTCTGCGTTGAGAATAACTTAAGAAAGGTGGATCCGCCCCGGCGGGATACGCTGCACCCGAAACAATGCTGCTGTTAATTGTAGTGTTTACAAACAGAGCAGCATGCAAACCTAAGTTTAAGAAGAAACTTTAATTTGTCACACATGCATCACAGCACCCTCAGTTCGCATGTAACAGTCGGAGTCAGAGTGCAAGGTCATCCATGATAAAGGGGTGTATAAAAAAATTCCAACAACAAACACTGATGCCAAAAAGTGATGCTCTGCCAAACACTGATCACCACTCAGGTTATGAACATTACAGTAGCTTGTGTGTGCATCAAACAGCCTTAACATGAAAATACACATAACTGTATCTGTGGTGACAGCAATGGTTTGTTCTTGAGAAACTTTAAAATTTCTTGTAACTGAATAATTATGACAAAAGAAACGTTTGCAGGTATATTCAGGATTTAGGATTATACTAGAGATGTAATGAATACTCTATCAGTTCATCAACTGTTACATTTGTCAGCAACTTTTTGATCACTGATTAATTGGTTTGAGTTTTGTTTTTTGTATTTTTAGAAAAAAATTCTGTAAGATTCATTCTGTAAGACAGTAAACTGAATCTCTTTGGGTTGTGGAGAAAACAAGAGGAAAAATCTGATCACTTTTTGGCACCTAAGTGGAGAAGCTTTGTCAAAAGCTGAACAGTTGCTGGACATGAACTTTGTGTGAAATAACCCTTGATTAAGTCTTTTAAATTCTAAGTACTGTATATTTTGAGTGAAATCATCCTTTAAAACTATAAGTCACGCACTTTAAATCATCCATCCACTTTCATTTTTGGCCAAATCAAAGTGAAGTTATTGGTACTGATTGAATATTCTCTGTAATAAATACCAATAGAACAATCCATATATTATCTATACACTGCTTAATCCTCACTAGGGCCATGGGGGGCTGGAGCCTATCCCAGCTGACTCAGGGCGAAGGCAGGGCCAATAGAATAATCATTTTTTAAATCTGGGTTTCATCAGCTGCAGCACCAGCAATGGAAACAGACCAAACATAACAACACATTTATGTGATTTCTGCATCACCAAGTAAAGCCACATCGCATTCCCATGGCAACGTGATGCATACAGTGTGTGATACTGTAGCTACATGGCTTCATTCGGTGATATTAGTGACGTGCAGTTCAACAGGTTTGCACATAAAACACATTCCCTCAGCTGAGAGTCTGTGTCCTAATAGATAATCATTAGGAAACTAAAATGGAGATGTTAGCTCAACAGCCTCAGTTACCATGGTGACCTAGCAGGTTGAAAGAGAGTCACCTTGATGACACTCAAAACTCTGACTAAAGGCTCAACATATCTCACTTACCCACTAATCTCACTTCAAAGTAAGCCCTCAGGACTCCTTCACTTATACTCAATGCTGCAGCAGTTATAAGAATCCTGCTTCTAAGAGCTGAAACACAAGAACTAAACTTTGTGAGTTTTTGTATTGAATCTGTTGATTTACAGCCATTCCTACGGGGGACATTAAAGGTGTGTCCACAAATGGTTCAAATATTTTGGCACTGCCCATTGACTCAGCACACACACAGCATTATGCATTCATCATATTATTTATTATATGTTTTTTTTTTTTACAGATTATTCAGCATTCGACAGTCAAAAAAAACCAAAATGACTCATTATCTGGACATCCTGCCGAACTCTGCCTCATGATATGTCACTCAAGCGTTCATTAGTGTCTTGTAAAACCGATTTAAACCTACCCTGGACAAACATCATATAAGTTCCATGCAATAACACTTTATTCAGTTAACGTTTCATAATAAGTTAAAACAATAAGTTGAGTCAAGAGGTTTACAGAAAGTTCATATAAATAATTACAGATATGAGTTTATACTTCAACACATTCATAAAAAACTAGCTGCAGGCTGTATACAGCTATTTTTAGTATACAGTACTTTAAATCAGGACTATCTTATGTACAGTCTTCTCAGGTGAGCTCAGCGACATTTAGCCACATGCCCAGAGAGATGGTGAGAGCGAGCAAACCTACGGAGGCAGTTGGGGCAGGAGTATGGCTTCTCCCCTGTGTGAGTTAACATGTGAGTTTTTAAATGGCCTGACAAGCGAAAGCTTTTTCCACATTCTTGGCATGTGTAAGGGCGCAAGTTAGTGTGGCTTCTCCTGTGCTTGCCCAGATCGCCAGAGGACGTGTATCGGCGGTGGCACTCTGGACACTCAAAGGGCTTTTCCCCAGAGTGTATCCTCTTATGCTTGACCAAGTCACCAGACTGAGTGAAACTCTTGTCGCATTCAGTGCATTTGTAGGGTCTCTCACCAGTGTGGGTGCGTTGGTGATTTCGTAGATGTGCAAGGCGGATAAACCTACTGCCACAGACCGTGCAATGGTAAGGCCGTTCTCCAGTGTGTGTCCGTAAGTGTATTTTCAGAGCCCCGAGATCTCCGATCTTCAACCCACAGTCCCCACACTGGTGAGCTTTCTCATTGGTGTGAAGTTTGGTGTGAACCCTCAGGTTTCTTTGAGTGTTAAAGCTCTTCCCGCACACGTTGCAGTGGAAGGGTCTCTCACTTGAATGCGTCCTCAAGTGAAGATCCAGGCTGGACTTGAATCCAAACTCCTTTCCGCATTCAGAGCAAGAATATTCCTTCTTGCCAGAGTGTGTGGTTAAGTGACACTTGAGGTGGTGTGATCTTAAAAAGGCCTTCTTGCATACCTGACATTTGTATGGCTTCTCCCCTGTGTGTATTTTCATGTGTTGCCGCCAGCCACTGCGCTCCACGAACCTCCTGCCACAATCCTTGCAGACAAACGGCCGGTCACCTGTGTGGGTGCGCATGTGATCCTCCAAACTTTGAGGCGTGCGCACCTTCTTGCCACATTCTGGACACTGTACACCAATATCCAGACAGATCGGTTTATCCTCAGATTCTGTGTTATCTGGTTCATGACATAAATGAGGCCCTTGACCCCACGTAGCTTTAAAACTCTTCCCACAATCGGCGCAACTGAGATGTCCCCCTCTAGTAACCACAGACATGTTGTGCCAGCGCTGGCAGTGGTTCTTCAGATTCTTCAGGTACTGGAAGCTGCGTGCACAGGTTGGGCAAGGGTGAAGCCTGCGGGGCGGGGCAGACGGGTGGACTTCACGTACGTGGTCCCGAAGGTGTACTTTAGAGTTGAAGGTGCTGCTGCAGACCGTGCAGGTGTGTTTGGGGATGAGGTTTAGTGTGCGGCTTGAGAGGCATTTTTTAAGTTTGGCAAGATACTGTTTCTGATGAACCCACTTCACGTGCTTCTCCAAGAAGTCCAAGTCGGTAAAGGAGACAGTGCAGTGAGGGCACGGGAAAAACTCGGACGATGATTCTGCACAGGAGAGAAAGACAGAGGGGGAGAAAAGAGAAAGAATTAATGTTTTCCTCGTTAAATATATACTGATTTAAAAAACAAAGCATCACAGAAAACTGTCCACCTCTGATATTTGTTAGTTTAAATAAAGAAAACCAACATGTTATGGAACAGTGCTCACAATAGGAAAGGTGAATAAGAATAACTACAAGCAGATTTAGTGTTTTTCTTTATAATCTGTTGTCTTCTACCTGTGCAGATATCCTCTCCTTCATCAAAATCCTCTGGGATGGGACCAACATCCTCTTCCTCCTCCTCCTCCTCACTGTCTCTCTCTTTTTTAATCCATGCCTCCGACTCCTCCTTGACAGCAGCTTCAGCGAATTCATATTCTGGCTGATGGTCAGAGTCGCACTCGCCCTTTATGTGTCCTTGTGGATCATTGTGAGCAGCTGTCACAACATCAGGTTTAGTGTCCAAACAGCTGGACGTGTCTCCATCAAGCTCCCCGCTGATCTCCTGTGAATGTGGTTCCTCCTTTATTCGGATGAGAAGACAATCTCCATTTGTTTGTGCTTGATGAGAAGAGTCCTCTGAGTATCCCTCCTGCTCTGATTCATACTCTGTTTTCACTGGGGGTGCATCCTGTCGTTTCTCTGCTCTCTTTGCTTTCTTCTTGGCAGATTTCATCTTCATGTTGTCACCATTAGATATTTGGTCTTAACGTGCTGTGGAGCAAAAGGGATATATTCACAAGGTGAGTATCTTACAAGATTAAAAAGTCACATACAAAGCAGTGTAAGAAAACCTAAAACAAGAGTTAAGTTAATCCTGTCTATTTTGGTCTACTGCTCTTAATGCTAGCTAACGTTAGCATCGCGGCTAAGCTATATAACAACAGCGTTAGCCTAGCAGCAGGCTAGGTGTGCGGCTCCTGGAGCTGCGCGGTTGTCAGAGTTCAGCTTTTGTCCGCTATAAACGAGACACTTACAGTTGTAAATCCAGCCGAAGTCGCTTTTTAAATATTTAAGCTAACGTTTAGTTGCTGGTTACATTAGTGTGTAGCGATAAAACAGCAGGGAAGGAGCTGCACACACTTCCTTTGGTTCTGGCCAACCAGCTAAGATCAGTGATGCTCATTTGACGCCCCCAGATGACTTTAAAGTGACAGCAGCGACAGTGGAGCATCTTTAAAGTAAACTTACCTTTACCTCGACTGAGTATCTATCTTAGGGTGACCATATATATATTTAATGAATTTTATTACAGTTTCCCGTAAAGACAACAAAAAAGGCACTGACAACAGAGTGTAACATAACTGCAGTCCTCCTCAAATGTATTCATACCCTTCCATTAAAGAAAAGGCAAAAGTCACAATAGTCACTCAAATAACAAGAAACTGAAAAAAGTAATAATAAATAAAAATTTACGAAATTATAATTTAGTGAAATACAACATAGCTTTTGAATTATGGTTGAAAAGAAACTTTAAAAAAATAAATAAATAAAACTGTCCAGGACAAATTAGCACTTTGCTGATGAGCAGTGGAGCAAAATACCTGTCAACAGGTGCAGAAGTCTAATTAAGAGTTACAGAAAACACTTGATTGCAGTGATTGGCTCAAAGGGTTGCTTAAAAAAGTATTAGTTTATGGGTCCCATCATGCTTGTTTGCTTGTTGTTGTTTTTTATATTTCTGTTGAACCACAATTCAGTTATGGAAAGATGCATTAGGAAACTAGAGGCCCACAGTGTGCTGCTGTCTGCACCAGATGTCAACAATAAACTGGTGATAAACTGAGGTTGGGTAGGATTCTTCCCAATAACTTACAGTAAGATAAGCTGAGACACTTAGATTAAGTCACACTAAAATAGAACATCTCTAACTGTACAAATCAATGACATCGGTTCAGATTTGGGGGGAAAAAATAAAAATGTTGGGTTCATTTAGGGGCTGCAAGGTGGAGCAGTGTTTAGTATCATTGCCTCGCAGCAAGATCGTCGGTTCGCATCCCCGTGAGGACATCCGGGATCTTTCTGCGTGGAGTTTGCATGTTCTCCCCGTGCAGCCTGGGTTCTCTCCGGGTTCTCCGGCTTCCTCCTACAAGGTCCAAAAACATGTTGAGGTTAATTGGTGATTCCAAATTGTCTGTAGGTGTGAATGTGAGTGTGCTTGGTTGTCTGTCTCTAAGTGTAGCCCTGTGATAGACTGGTGACCTGTCCATGGTGTCCTCTGCCTTCACCCTGAGTCAGCTGGGATAGACTCCAGCCCCCCATGACCCTAGTGAGGATCAAGCAGTGTTTAGATAATGGATGGATGGATGGATGAGTCATTTAGTGGTAAAAAAACAACATACATCTAACTTTAAAAAAAAAAAAATCTCATAACTGAACCCCCTTTTTGCCCAAGACACAGACATAAGGATTATTAGTCAGTCAGTAGTAATACAACATACAAAACACACACACAGTCATGTTCCACAGACTTTATTTCAGCTGACTCAAGACAGAATCTTCACGCAATCTTCTGTACAACACGGTTCCCTTCTTTGAAAACAAAAAAACAATCACAACGAAAGTTATGTACAAAAATAAAGTATGTTAAAAAAAAAAAAAAAAACCATACACAAAGATACAAGACAAAAAAAACCCAAACTGTATTAATGCTTATTGTGGATGGCTGCTATAAATAGTACAGTATTCATTTGAGCTTCAGTTTGCTTAATTATGCTGCAGTTCATGAAGAAATAAAAAAAATCTCTCATGTTTTAGTGTATTTGATAAGAAGCCAGTAGCATTCTGAGTTCGTCCATGACAACGTGTGTCATCTCAGGCTGGATGACACCCCTCTATCACATTTCACATGAATAATGGGGCTCATTGGCTCCACGCAGTGCAAAAAAGGAGAACAAAAACACTTACGTCAACAGTGAACAAGTAATTCAGTCGATAATGCTGTGTAATCTTCCCTTCTCTTCTCTCACCAGGAGAACTTTCTCATGTAACTCTTTCCACTCTCTCTGTAATTTCAACTGAGTAACATTTTTCCTGTTTTTTTTTCTCTTTAAAACCAAATCGTAGCTACAATTGGCGAATACAATCACCTAAGCAGACAAGTTGCCTGAAAAAAAAGCAGTCCAGCAAAACACGCCAAACACCAACATACATTTCACATAAACAAAATGTAATTAAATGTTGAAAAAGGACACATCATTTCTTCATTTTCATGGACGAGTTCTGTTGTCATTAAATTATTAGTGTCACTAATATTGAAAACATTATCCTTCAGCTGTTTTACAAGAAAACAAATCATGAAACAAAATGTAAAATGTTTTTTTTTTTTTTACATCTTCCAGGTGCTGCACCACAAACGTTTCCGTCACCACGAGTATTAAGTGTAAGCCGGTTGACTCACAGACAAGGCAAGAAGTGAAGGCAGATGAGCAGAAAGACAAATAATGTAACAGAGCAGGTGAACGAATATGCAAAAACATACTCAGGAGTCTGTTTAACAGAAACATGTAGCTTAGAAGCCTGCCGTATACTGAGTTACAATTATAAATCACTCATATGACTATGATATAAAAACCGTTTCACGAGCAACTTTGACTTTTTTTTCCTGCGCTGCACTGACAATCAAAATCTTGCACATTACGCTGAACCAATTCAAGTCTTTTGTTCTCAATGGCAATTTTTGATTGTCACTTTTTTGAGGTTTAAAGCACACATTGGTTCCAAAGCGAGCAGATGTATTTTATTTTTTTACACCCCTGTTGGTCAATGAGAATAATAGACTGACTGTTGAGTGTGCTCATACCTGTTCAGTGATCACAGACACGATGCGACATTATCTTTTTGATACGTATAGCAGTTGTAGTGCATTCTAGAGACAGCTGGCTTGGTCATGTGAAGCACTGAAATACAGTAAAGCAATACATAATACAATAAAAGACACTTATTGATTCATTATACAGTGTATGTACATCTCTGTTCAAAATGCTCAAGTTGACTCTGACATAATGCTTTCTTTTGGACTTTGCCTTGTGACTATGTTTCTTTCAAAAAGAAAAAGAAAAAATTAATTTACCATATATACCAAACACTTTACATACGTATTCCATCTCTCTTATATCTTTTGCTTGTTTACCTACATCGCCATAGTGGTCAGGTGCTGATGCCCTAGCAGTCCCTTGCGCCCTGCACCCGCCCCCGGATGCCCTCCTCCGTTGCCGTGGCCACAGTATTCCTGCAGGTTCTGACGCAAAGTAACCAGTGCAGAGCCCAGACAGGCACGATTTGGAGCCAGGACACCCCCGGGCAGCTGGAAGAGGACAGTGGCCACCCCAGCCATGCCATCATCTGTAGGCTCCAGAGTGATGGGCCCAACTTTAAAGGTGGAATATGAAAAGCCCATGAGCTGAGAGAGGAAAGGGTCAGAGCGGCAAAAGTGCTGGTAGCCGCTGTACGTGGATGGGTGGTGATGATGTGAGGCTGGGGTGCCAGCTGTGGTGCTGGCATAGTGATGGGTGTTCAAGTAGTGCAGTGGCAGGTGCTGCCCGCTGTTGCCCCCTCCACCCAAGGTAAGGTGATGGTGGTGGTGGGCTGTGGGTCCAGAGCCTGTATCATGTTTATAAGAGACAGCTCCTGCTCTACCCCTCTGGCCCACCACCACTCCACCCAACTTGCTCGTACGGGAATGAGCAAGCGATACAGTGCTGCCCCCCACCCCTCCACCAGCTGACGGCAGGTAGATGAGCTGAGGCTCCTCCGGCTCAAGGTATATGGTGAGTTTAGCAAAGGGCCTTGATGCCATTTTGGTCATCTCTTGGATGTGGCGACGCTGCTCCCGACGGAAGTCCAGGAACTGCTTGACTTTCCACAAGAGGACGCAGACAGACAGGAAAAGAAAAAAGCAAGAAAAAAACACAGAGAAGAAGACAAAAAGGTCGATGTGGGCTTGGTCCTGTCGCAGAAACAGCAGGCCTTGGGACTCTCCCTGTTTCTCGGCAGTTCCCACACCTCTGAGAGCGATGTAGAAGCGGCTGGATTTCAGGGAGTGCACCTCGTGGGGGAAGGTGATAACCACACGATCTCGAACACCACGGACAATCAGCACTGTCTGTGGTTTCCACACAGTGATGTAGGTAATGAGTCCTTCAGCACGCTCTTCTCTAATTTCTCTCTCTGACCCTGGGGGTTTTGCTTGCAGCTGCAATGGGTTGTGGGAGAGCACGGGACCTCCGAGGCTAGACGAGGTATTGGCCACAAACTTTATAGGGGATGGAGGTGAATCTTTATCCCCCCCTGTAGTTGTTCCCCGAGTCGCTGATTCCTCCTCGATCTTGATGGTGTGAATCCACGTGTGACGGTCAACATCCACGATGAAGGTGTCATGAGAGTTGGAAACATAGACTTCTACCTCACCAAAGGTTACATCAATGGTGACTCGAATATCCACATTGGTGAACTTTGGTTGGGCAGCAAAAAACACGGTGCGCCCCTTGGGCAGGTTCCGAATGGCAGGATAATGGAAGCAGTTGGTCTGGGATGTGGGGTCAAAGCAGCACTCGGTGTCCACGTTGAACTGACGATAGCACTGACGCCCATTCACGGGTGTGCCATTGAAGGAATCCTTGCACTTGGCACACTAAATGAAAGAGTAAAATAAAAACATGGTCAGCAAAACCAAGGAATTGACGCAAACTTTTTATTCTAGTATAAAAATTACTTAAAGCGAAGAAAATCCAAGGGTATCTACTGATACACTGTATAGAAAAATGTGTTGTCATCATTCTGCAAAGTGAAAACCCAGACCTCAGCTGTGTGCATACCTGTTGCCTGTAACAGTCTTTCCGGTCAGTCTGCGGGCTGCTGAGGCATGAGGAGGTCTCTGTGTTGTTCTGACAGGGGCAACCGGTACCATCGTGTTCACTACATGTGTCTGCATGACCATTACATTGACACCTGCAATGAAGAGGAAAAAAAACTTAGGAAACAAAGGAAAAACATCCAAAATGTGCATTTAAGCAATAGAACAAACAGAAAACTGTAGTGATAGGGTCTTAAAAGGAGCAGCTACTGTCAGAAAGACAGCTAGACAAAGAATAAGCGAGCTTTAATACAGCAGAGCCACTGGGCCCATGTGTGGCTCATTCAGCTGATGACCCTCATTCAGCCCGGTAAAAGAAAGGACAGAGACACCTAGTGTCTAGGTGGAGGGTCGTCACATATCGTATTAAGTCATCCAGATTATATCTGACAGACATGGTACTGCGTGTACCCAAAATAATATTGATTATTGACACTGCAAAACTTTCAAAAGCTTTATATAATTCTAAATATGATAAATAAGCATTTTTAGTTATAACTGCTCAGCAGACGTTACTCACTTCTCACACTTTCCCTGCAGCAGGAAGTAGCCACTGAGGCAGCTCTCACATTTGTCCCCGACGCTGTTGTTCTGGCAATTCACACACATTGCATTATCTTCTGTGGGACCCTCAGACACCCATTTCTGAATCTGAAAAAAAGAAAAATACAGATGGACCCCTGAAACTTACAAAGGAGTTAAAACAAAGACTGTGCACAAGCTGACTTACTGGTGTATTTGTTTTTGCATATAATTCAAGAGAAGGCCACAAGGGTTTCAGATACTTACGCTGTTAGGATCCAGAGGGAACAGCCGTGGGTTTTCAAGGGCCTTCTTATGTTCATCCCGAGACAGACACACAGCGCTGTTTCCCTTGCAAAACTCCCGACATGGATGACAAGTGCCGCCTCCCTTTGCAGAGCCCACAAACAGAGGCTTGCACTTCTCACAATGCTTACCCTGGAATTGGGGCCAAGAGAAATCAATATTCACGACTGAATAGGGGAAAAAAAACAATGTTTATGATGTGTGGCTGTATATTACCATAAGCACTTACTATGGTGTTATTGTGGCACTCAAGACAAACATCTGGCTTGTTAACACCAGCGCAGTTGCTGTGTTTGTTACAGCTGCACTGAGAAGAGCAGTTGTCCCCTACAAAGCCAAAGTGACACTGGCAAACTCCTGGGGACACACATGTCCCATTCACGCAGCCTTGTGCACACACTGGCTCACACTGACCAGAAACACTGTGGAGAAGGAAAACAAGTAGAGGAGATTTGTTTAAACGTGTCCATTAAAAACAAAGCACAAGCTGGGATTTTTTTTTTTTTCAACTATCCTCATAAAGTACCTGTTGAGGATGTAACCCTGTTTGCAGGTGCAGTGGTATCCCTGGGACAGGTCATGGCAGTCCTGAGTGCTGTTGCAGTGGTGATGGCCGTTAGCGCACTCATCCTCCTCGGGACAGTGGAGGAAAGACCAGCTGCTGTTTTTCAGGGGGCAAACTCCCTCACTCACACCTGGGAAAAGAAAAATGAACGGGGAGTGAATCAGTAATTAGAAATGCAGAAATGTAGCTAAATTATGTGAATAATGCAGCACTGGGTTTGTTACATCATGCAATGGCTGGCTTCTTTAACCCAACAAGAAAAACAAGATTTGTCTCACCATCAAGTCCTCCTTGCAGGCAGCGTCCAGCCCCATTGCCGCCCCGAGTAGCACACCAGCCACACTGAGGCCTGGCAATGCACTGGGAGCACTGGTTGAGCTGGGAGCACTGGGGAGAGCACGAGTCCCCCCCAGACAGCAATCTACCGCACTGGCCTGCCTCGCATCGGAGGGGCACAAAAGACGGGCTCATGCACTGCAGGAAGAGGACAGAAGTTTGCTGTATACGAACAGTATTTGATTAAATTTAAAACTCAAAATACTTTGCAAAGTTCAAGCTCTCCAATCTTACCTGCTGCAAAGCCATACTCCACACACAGTGCTGCCAACCCCCATCAGAGCCTCTGGAGCCCAGACAGAGGCTGCAGTTATGGAGACTGTGGCAAGGAGGAGGGCATGGCAGAGGAGGAGATGACTCCACCTGCATGGGTGAGACATTGAGCAGAGCGTAGCTGAAACACGTCCAGTCATAAGTGGGATTCACACTCAGGATGCGCCTCGTCTCGCCTGGAGGAAGAAGTAAACATTTTTCAGTGAAAATGAGAACAAACGTGCCCTAAACTATAATTTACCCAATAATGAATCCATATGCTGCTGGCTGTGGTGTCCATAGTATTGAAATCAAACACTAGTGCTTTTAATACCATTTTCACATGGAAAAAGTAATCTTTAGCGACAGAGGGAATACTAATTCAACACCATAAGCTGTGTACCTGTGCGTTTGAACTGTCGAGTCCACATGCATTTTCCAGATGCGGTACACTTGGGGCAGTCAGAGGCCTCACAGCTCGTCTCAGTGCAGTTGCTGGACAGGAAAATCTCTCTCTGGTTGATCCGACAGTCGTGCTCAGACGTACAGCTGACAGAGCTGCTGATACAAGCCCCTTCTGGACAGTTTGTGCACCACTTACACTGTAATGCAGACTGGGAAATTTTTATAAAAAACAGATTTTAGTTGACAGTATTCATCTCTTTGAGCTGCTGACTGTGTTAGGGTATGTGCGTCACACGTTACCTGTGACTGACTGGAGAATGTTTTAGGATGTCGGGCGAGACATTCGCTGCAGGTCTTCAGTCTTCGGCACTGATCTGGTTGACGAGGGGTTGGGGAACAGGGAGACTGTCCAGGGAAGCAGCCCATTCTAATGGAGAAGGAAGGGCAGAATTGCAAGTTGGACATATTTCATTTAGTAGCTTCAGATAACATCAAGCTCAAGAACAGAGTTGATTTCAGCAAAACTGTTACCTCTCTGCAATATCGGACGAAGCACAGGTTCCTCCACACCAGACGCAGCTGCCTGTGGTGGTGTTGCAGGTCTCGGGTGTGGGTAGCAGGGCACAAGGGTCCGAGGGTACAGACAAGGTTAGAAGCCTGCCCAACGTGACCCCATTGAAGCCTCCCGACAGGAAAAGACGACCACCCCAGCTTGTCATGGCAAGAGATACGGAGCGGTTTACTGGATCTCCTACAGCTGAGACTAAAGGGGAGAAATAAAAGAATGGTTAGATTGTTGTTTGTTAAATTAGGATTTATCACTTAACATGCAGCTAGACGTCAAACCAGTCACCTGGTTGTATCCAGGTGTTGCAGTTAATCTGGTACAGAGACACAGAGTTACTGTAATCTTCAGCTTCTGTCCTCCCGCCGACAATGACCATGGTGTCTTTGATCAAGGCCGCGGCATGGAAGAAACGGGACAGGGGCTACGTAGCAAAGAGAAGATACAGCAAGAATAGGTGAGTTATCTTTGTACAGTGGCAGGGCACAGAATAACACCTTGGACTGAGGAGTTGTTAAAGGGTGACAGAGACTAGATGAGCTCAGTTTCTTACCTTATTACCCTGTGAGGGGACCAGCAGGGACCAGGTGAGGTTAGGATAATACAGACTGTAGAGCTCGCCTGATGGCTCCACTGTCTCCACATGAAAGCGGTAGCCTCCAAAGACATAGATGGCATCGGTCTGTTCGTGGTAGACTGCTGAGTGGCCATATAATCCTGATTGACAAACACATAAGGTAGAACAGGTTTACAGGCAGAAAATAGTGAGTTTGCTGTATTTATAATTGTGTTGTCTGTTTTTTATATTTTTTTCAAAATGTGATGTTTTGCATGTATTTATGCTGGGGTACACAGTAATCTTTGGCATCACCGGGCAAGAAATTCCTTAATCACCTTTTAATAAATAGTAGTTAAAGTGGTCTTGATAAGAAACAAAACTTGTGCACCTTCTTTTGGCTCCATTTTCAGAAAATCTAGCCCACAACAGAAGACTTTAGCCAACAACAGGGCCTTCATCCAGAGCAGGTAAGACAATATGAAGAGCAACAAAGCCAGTGATGAGACCGAGACGTGGTGCAATTAGTCTGACAGAACATTATTCACTCAGGAGAGTGTGGTTCCAATCCTGTGTGAAGCCTCAACTAAGCATTTAGCTTGACCATTTTTACATGTTTGAGACGTGTGCCTTTGCCCATGCTTGTCTGGTGGGCAAACAGACAGGGGAGAGGGAAGAGCTGCAGCAGGAGGACTCTATTTTCAAATTCTGACAGTTAGTTGTTGCCTTCTCCAGATTTCTGCCTATCCCAGATTTAGGTGGTGCATCAGTAAAAAAAAAAAAAAGACTGACCAATTGAAAACAACGTCACAACTTAACAAAATGCATCATAAACCTGTAGGTGGTGTGCCAGTGTGGAGGGCAATGGTCCAGTTTCCAGAATGAGGGCTGAACTCGAGCAGATGGTGGTTGAAGCCATTCTCTGGAGAATAACCTCCAATCAATAATACAGAAGAGTCTCGACGTACGGTTAAGGTGTGACCTGCCACTGGGGGCAGCACTGAGCTCTGTCAGAGGGAGAAGAAAATGCAGTTGGTTTGAGGTAAAATTCAGATTTTTCTGATATTTCGTTTTTCTATAATAAGTCAAATTCTGACCTTGTGTTCTCGCCAGACTAGACTGCTGAGATTGAGACTCCAGGTATCCGTGGCGACACCGTTTTGAGTGACACCGCCTACTACCAACATGAAGTTGTGACTGGCTCCGTGGCCTCCAGAGTCATGACTGGTCAGCAGGGCAGAGGCGTGGTGGTAGCGAGCGCTGGGAGTCGAGCCTTCTTCCACGGAGCTTGTCAACATTTGGGTCCAACGATGTTCTAACACAGAATATCTACACCAACCAGTGGAAATATGTTATTATACACACACAGACAGAGCATTGCACTATATACACAAAATGCAATAATACCTAAAAATTCTGTAACATGAAAACCACTCAAAACCTGACGTTTAAGACCCTCTCAGACATGGATCATAACTGGCTTCATTGACATGACGGCATTGTAGTAATTCAAACATAGGTCAATTTCTTTAATGTTCCTCACAGCTGTACTCAGACATACACACCACAGGGCTCTTAACATCTTTTGAGGAAAAATGACATTCAGTACTGGTAAGTATCATGATTCTTTAAGCTGTGAGAGTCTGTTTTCATTGCAGTAAGGTTTTATTATTTTGAACATTTTATTTTGTTGGGCTGAAAGGTGAATCGGTGGTTAGCACTGTTGCCTCGCAGCAACAAGGTTGCCGATTCGCGTCCCAATGAGGACACCTGGGATCTTTCTGCATGGAGTTTGCATGTTCTTCCTGTGCAGCGTGGGTTCTCTCCGGGTTCTCCGGCTTCCTCCCACAAGGTCCAAAAACATGTTGAGGTTAATTGGTGATTCTAAATTGTCCATAGGTGTGAATGTGAGTGTGCTTGGTTGTCTGTCTCTAAGTGTAGCCCTGTGATAGACTGGTGACCTGTCCAGGGTGTCCCCTGCCTTCACCCTAAGTCAGCTGGGATCGGCTCCAGCCAACTGCGACCCTAGTGAGGATTAAGTGGTGTATAGATAATGGATGGATTTTATTTTGTTCCCTAATAGATTTAAAATTGTAGAGCAAAGTGTGTGAAAAATGTGTTGTGATTTTGGCACACAAACTCTGATGTTTTTGGTAGAGTTGCTGAAACGTGGAAAAATCCGTCCCTAAATCACTTAAACTACTGCTGCTTGTGTGTATTTTTCTGTTAATGTGACTGTTCATTTCAGACTTGTGCCGTGTTGAAAGAGATATGGAAATTAGTCCGACCTGGATGCAGTTGATCCATTTAGTTGTCGTCAGATTAACAGAACACAGCGCATGTCTGAAAGGGGTATTACAATCCTGTAGTTTAAGTATGTATATACTCAGGTTACACTTCTTACCTGTACACATTTCCCAGAATGCCCTCTGAGAGAGAAAGCCCTCCATACATCCAGAGGTTGCCCTGTGGTCCAGACACCAGAGAGTGTCCCATCCTGTGGAGGAACCTGTGGGCTTGGTTCTGTGAAACAAGAGTATGTATGAATTTGAGGTTGTGTGTGGTTTTGTGTGTGCAGATGTGTGTGTTTGTTTTGAGTTATCCCTACCACAGTCAGTTGTGTGTCCAGCAGTGTTTCCCAAACCAAGCTGTTTGAGTCCCGAGGAACAGAACAGTCGGAGCCAGCCCAGTTGTCTGAGCACACACACACTCCAAGAGACTAAGACAAACAAAATGTGATGGTTAGCCATGTACATGACCATATGTTCTCTCATTTTTAGTTTTTTAAAAATTCTGAATTTTCAAGGTGAACTGTTGAAATATTGTCTCAGTAATATGAACAAGAATCATGATTGTACACCCTAATATAATTTTAGACAGTACACAACTACATTAATGTGTTGTGTTATAGTATGCTGTCAAACACTTCTGGTCCTCGAAATAAATGATCCTTTTGTCAACTGGAAAATTTTGCTAAAGGTAAACTTTTTTACAGATTGTCACAACTCTTACTATATTACAAGCTCCTCTTCCTTCTGCTATCCCACAATCCTGAGGACACATGGGCCGGTCGCAGTGCGGTCCCCCATATCCCTGCGAGCATTGGCAGAGCCCACCGTGACACTGGCCTCCACTTGGACACACAGATGATCGCTCTTCACCGTCATCGGAGCTCTGGTGACACCGCCGTACCCAGAAAGAAGCATTGAAGCCTTGAGGCTTGTTTGAAGAGACGTTAGCTTCAAAGTAGACGGAGATCACACCTAATGGTAGAAGAGAGGATACAATATTGTTAACGTAACTTTAACCTGCCTACTGCAAATCATGCGTTTATTCGTGAATAGGTATATTTTTTTTAATCGTTTAAGTCTGAAGCAAACCTGAGGTGGCCTCCACTGTCACAGGCTGAGTCCTTGTGGTGCCACAAAACGCTCCTATTAGGTTGTGATCAGAATGTACAACTCCATTGCCCAGAAAACGAGGAAGCCCATCAAACACATAGACATATGAGCTCTGCAAAAGTAAACATATTGAGTGTAATGAACACATATGAAGAAATACTGACAATGTTAGATGTTAAAGAGTAGGTAACCTGTTAATTTATGTGTGTCATTAGATCATGTTTGTACTCACTTCACAATGTGTATGGGAATCTGGGTGTAGAGTGAGGGCTACTGGGGGACAGAGCTGTCTGGGCAGACAAGGCGCCAGGTTCTCAGTCACAGAAAGAACCCACAGACAATGAGATAGTCCTCCCTTCCCCTCTGTGCCACTCCGCCATCCCAAAGAGGAGGAAAGAGGGATTGCGGAGGAGGAGGTGGATGAGAGTAGGACAGAACGGCCCTGGCACTGACGGTAGCATGTGCCGTTGTTCCTAGATGTCAGGACAGACGAGTAACGATGAAAGAATCAGAATATACTAAAATCAACAAAAGGTATGTCCAATATCTTTCTATAGAATCCACTTAGTTCAGACACAAGAAAAAAAAAAGTACACTACTCTTAAGCTGTGTGGTTAGGATCTCCTTACCTTGGGTCTCCGTAGTAACCAGGCAGGCAGGACTCACAGTGTGGTCCCTGAGTGTTGTGGGTGCAGTAGCACTGGCCTGTCTGGTTGTGACAGTATCCTCGGAGAGGGTCGCCATGTCCATTACACTCACAAGGAACACAGCCGCCGCCACCAGCCAGGGCTGAGCCAAAGCTACCTGGACGGCAGTGCTCACAGTGAGGCCCTGTCGTCCAATCTGAAAGACAGCAGAAGAACGAATGAACATCACCGGACAAAGAGTCAACCAATAAATAGCCTGATACCTCTGGTCTTTCAAAAAGGAACAATTGGACATGAAGTTTCAGTTTAGTGAATTGTGAATACATTTAAAACAAAAAAAATAACAGCAAGACAGGAATGTACTTAAATTAATCTACTCAAGTCTCACCCTGGCATTCATCACAGATCCCTGGAGCAGTAATACAGGTGGAGTGGAAGTTGCAGCCACAGTCTACATCACATTCAACACCACTCAGAACTAGAGTGGCGGGATCAGATGTCCAGCCCAGGGAACATTCACACTCAAACCGTGGGCTGCCGCTGCATTGACCCTCACGACACTCATTGTAACAACTGTGGGCAGAAAAAAATATTATGTTCTCTTCCCAGATTTACAAAAAGCAAAGAAGACTATTATGTTTGCAGGCCAAGACACTTACGTCTGGTTGCAGTGCAGTGTGCCGTCCCCTGTGTATCCCCTCTCACAGTGGCACTCGTAAGAGGTGGGAGTGTTGATGCAGGTGGCGAAAGGGTGACAGTTGTGGAGACCTAGCCTGCATTCCTCTACATCAGGGCATGTGGGGTAGGACCAGATCGCATCTTGCTCTTCGTCATCCAAATGTTCCAGTTCCATCTCCATTTCCAAGGGCCGTGGTGGGGCTGATGTCTGGGGCTCAGGGCTGGAGCGGCAGGACAAGGAGACATGAAGTTAAGAGATATATTGTATGTAGCCATCCACCCATCCACAGTAAAGTTGTTAACACTTTTAAGGTATCTAAAGACTTCAGAAAATCCAGTCATTATCAAGAAACAAACATGTAAAACAATTGTTTGTAAAAATAGATAGAACTGATTAGACCAACAGTACTTAGACTGAGATGAGTTTACTTGCAAATGAGTCTTGCTAAAGTTGAGTGAAAAAAAAAAAGATTCTAAAATACACAATAAAAGCAAAGAGTCTGTTAAGATGTACTAATTAATGTTATATTATAACCCCTTTGGCCTCATTAATGTTTCAGTAATTTTATTGTGAAAAACAAGTTAAGGATCCTCTTCAAGGACTAAAACATTTAACAAGTGAGAAACACTCCATTCCCCATATTTCAAGTCTAACATAACCCACAGCACAAAAGCTGTAGAAAAAACTGCTGATAAGAAGTCATATGCTCAACCACAGCTTACAACACGACAGTGTAAAAACAGGAATCTTACTTAGCAGCCCGTGCTTCAGCTACAGCCACACTGCAGTTATACACGGATGGATCGTCCATTCCTGCCCAGTCTCCCCTCAAACATCTGAAAAGATAGATGGAGAACATGGAACAAATGCAAAGAAAACACAATAAAAACAATGACTATTAACATACCAGCACCTTGATAATACAAAGGATGGGGTGCCATATGTACTTTTTCAGTATACTTTTCTTGCTACATATCTACCATACTTACTTTCCAATAGTGGGATTGTTGTAGTCACCACACCAGCCACACTGGAATGTTCGCAGGCAGTCTGTGCACGTGTTTAAAGCTGAACACTGCTTACACTGGGGAACTGAGTGAACACTGACAAGCAAAAGAAGAAATAATAAAAACATTTGGCTATTGATCTACGGTTCAGTTTAAGTCATATATTACACCTACAGGTTTATGCTTACATAATTTGAGTGTACTGCTAAATGTGTTCAAGCTGAAATCAGTAACTCTAACAAGAGTTGAGGTTAGTGCACCGTTCAGAGTGTAAGCATTTGGAGACATTTTTTTTTTTTTGCTCTTCAAAGTCTGTGCACAACCAATTTGTAATAAAAAAGTGCCAAGTCTCATCTTTAAATTGAGTTAATTTACAGCAACACTGAAAGAATTGTGTGCGACATATTCTAAACTATTTGCACAAGTTATTATTTGTAACAAATCTTAAAAGAATAAAAAATAAAAAGTCTGAAAAATGTCCTCATTTTACCTGTCGTACCAGTCCCTGCACTCTCCATAGGGGTATTTTGTGAGGTAGGCAGCAAAATAGAAGCAGGCCTGGGCTGATTCACACCATGCACACTGGCTGGAGTTAGAGAGGCACTCACCACATGTTTTTCTCCTTTACAAGAAAAAAAGGGGAGGACAATAAAAGTGGGTCATATGTTCTTGTTGAAACCATGCATGATCTGAAACAACCCAATTAAAAAAAACAAAAACAAACTGTTAGTAATGTTTTTCAACTCACTGGTTACAGACTTTAGGACAGCCTCTTGGGTCACGTATGGATCCATCTAGTCTGCCCCGTCGACTGCACTGGTAGTCACCTTTCTTGCTGGAGTTTATCTGCCACTCGCAATAAGGATCCTGCAGGCCAAGAAATGACATGAGTCAAGAAAGCCCCTGTTCGAAATTAAGCGATACAATATCTGCAGCATAGTGACACTTGATGTCGAAAACCTTTGAGGGGGCTATCTATGTCGTACCTGAGTACAAGCAGAGCAGTCTCTGTACTCCTCACACAAGGTGCAGTGCTGGGGTGCCAACAGCAGATGGCGCTGACCTTCTCCCTTGCCTTCCCCCTTGTCCCCCTCAGGGCAGAGTTCGAGGTCTGGGCTTTCCCGCAGCAGGCAGCGGGACAAAGACGGGCACCAGCCACAAGACTGGTCAGACAAACAGGCCAGGCAGGACATGTACCCTACACAGGAACCTGAGCGGTAGGGCTCTAAGAACAGGAAGGAGATCTCCTAGAAGGAGGACAAGTAAAGAGGACATGATGTAAACACGAGGTAAGGCTATTTAATGAGAATAATGCCACACATAAATTTCATTTTTTCCCACTTCCGTAATTTGCACGGATTTAAACTTGTTGTTTATGTTTGCCCTCTGGGCATGGTTCATGTATGCTGGCTGTTGTTTGAATTACATAATCTCAGTCTTGTTATTGAAATGCCAAACCTCATGCTCTGCTTTTGTAACTCAAGAAGGCTTATTGTGCAAGCTAACTCTCTTTGCTGTTGTACAGAAGTTTCACTGTGCCAGTACTCACACTCCCTCCAGGCAATGTTCTGTTCCAAATCAGGGCCATCTCACTGGTCTGTCCTGAACCTGAGTTGTTAAGGTAGCCCTCAGCTTGGACAAGGTAATGGTTGCCCCGAGTCAGGTTAGAGAACAGTCTACTCCCATCCGTCCGAGCCAACAGCTTCAGCTCCTTTTCCTGCTGGGCTGCCCAGCGACCCACCACCTCCTGATCAGCCAGTTTGATGTTGTATTAAAAAGAAGAGAAAAAGAAAGAATGGAGAGGGGTTAGGTAACAATACATGTAATAAATATTTCTGACATATAATTTAACATATAGCAAAAAGCTGTTGGAATATATCAGCATTCCAACAATGTCTAAAACGTAATATTCTACGATAAAGGTGTTAAATTACAATGATGTCATTCTATAATCTATTAACAATAGCCATTGTTTCATATGGGCGGTAGGGGCGGGGGGTTTCAAGACCCATCACTTCGGCCGAAGAAATTATCAGAAGACGTACAGTCTTGCTGTCAAGTGAGGTTGATGTAATTTATGGCAAACACAGACTTAGCTCAGGCTAAAACAGATACATAAAGGATGGATTATTGTATATTTATATTGTATTTTTTACCTCACACTTATTACCTTCCAGTAGTTACAATGTTATTCCATGTGGGACAATAATTACTAAATGATGTCTACTGAAAATTTCATTACCTTGTGTAGAAAAACTAATCTTGTTAATGTCAGACAAAAAAAATGTATTAATTTATTGAGTAAAAGACACAGTCTCTATTGCTGACATGTACTTGTTCTTACCAGCTGGCTGGAGTTGGGCCCTGATGCCATTCGAGCCTCAAAGTGGAGCCTCTGGATGCGAGCCCACATAGAGACAGTCTCTGTAGGAGGGGGTGCAGGTGGTGGCCCCCCCCACAATGGGTGAATGAAGCCTCTGAACTGTAGGGCTACGTCCATTTCTGTGGTTGGGCTAAGTATGATGGTAGTGCTGCGGAGGATGGACACCTGGTGGAGGGGTGAAGAGGTGGGAGGACAGTGGAGGGTGGATGGAAGTGGAGAAACATCAACAGAAGCACTATTCTTTGAAAACTGCTCTATAAGTTTAAAAGTGTAGTTGAAATGAGTAGCAAAACAAACAGAGATAGTAAAAAAAGAGAGGTGAGCATTTCAGTCAAGAGATTAAAAAAGCCAAGAGGAATAAACAATAAGCAACACAATCATAATATTCAAGTTGGAGAACTGCAGTGGAGTCAAAGCAATATTGGAGGAAGGAAGGAGGAATAAGTGCAAGCAGAGAGGGAAGTTGTTACAATCACAACTAGTACAGTTTTTATTTAAGATTTGGACTCCGTACCTTGTCAGGCTGGGAGTCGTTGCGGGGGTGCTGGAAGGTGAGCAGGTGCAGTCCCGGGACATAGTTCTCGGTGCGACAGGAGTGGAGGGAGGTTAGGAAAAGGGTACGCTCCCCCCACCAGCCGTACGCCCCTGAGATCTGGTCCACACGGCACGCACTTCGCTCTGTGAGACCGAGAGGGAGAGGTCAGCACACAAAGAACATATCTGACCTCTTAAAAACTCATAATACAGCAGTTTCCTACAGCGTACCACTGTACTGAAAAGGGTGCGATCTGTGACTCTTGTGTGACGTGTGTTCAGAAGGAGTAAAATGACATGACCTCACTGCATCAAAAGAAGCATGCGACTGGACAGGCAAGTCAAATCACGGTCTGATTAGCCTGTCCAATCTCAGCTGAGTGTAGTCAAATCACTGTACTTCATGTGTGAAACACACCCAGCACGGGTCCAGTCCCTCCCATGTCAACTCCCAACATCTTTTTTGTTTATATTTTTTATTATTTGCCCTCCTTCCTCCCTCCCTGGCTCTCACCTGACACTGGTAGGCAGGACTCATTCTGAACACACCAGCCAAATTCACCAGGGGCACGGGCCAGAGAAGCTGGAGTGCCACTGAACACCAGACAGGACTGGCAGTCGGACAGGAAGCGAGCGAGGCCCAAGCAACCGGTGCTGCCACACTGTGAGCAGAAAACAGAGGTTATACACTGCAACTGTGATCCAGACAGACATTCATACACATCAAAGAAAAGGAAAAAAAAACTAGATGTCTACTAATATAGGGATATAACTATAAAACATTTTAAACTATTTTTCAATTGGTATGAATCAGTCAAAGTGAAAGAAAACCACAAGGCTGCTTTGAGGGAAGTGTTACCGGGTTAGTAGGTTGGTACTCTCGACAGCGGCCTTCACACCAGCTGCACTCGGGGTTCTTAAGGCACATACTTTCATCTAGTGCCTCAGCGCAAACAGCGTCCTGGTGAGGAAACACACACATGTATATATACAATTAGGTTATTGCCAGATGCACTTCTTTTTTTCCCGACATTCTCCCAGTTTTCCAAGTTATATATGACTTTCAATTCACTTCCACTCACCCTATCTCCTTGATCGCTATTGACAAAGAGTGGAACTTTGTAGGCCACAAGGTCTCCACGGGCAACACCACTGTAGCCCCCAGCAACCAGCAATACTCGTCCCTCCATCACAGCAGCAACATGTGAATAACGTCCCCTCACAGCGTCACCACCTAAGAAAAACAGGAACGTTTAGTATCGACTACCAAGAAGCTATTTCAATACAGCTTAGAAAAACAGTCTAAAAGAACTCACTGAGTAGCCATCTCTCCCCAGCAGACACCCACTGGTGACAACCCAAGTGGTAAAAGAAGATCTCCTCATCATAGCACTTCTCCTCTTGGTAGTGAATATGTACATTCCCTCCTGAAAGAGAAAAACAGAAAAGACGTAAATATACACAGGGCTGCACTGACTACAATACTTAGTTCACTGATTTCACGGTTCTCACCATAGACAACCATGTAGTTTCCAATGACTGTGGCTGAGTGGAAAGCCCTCTCTCTTGGACCAGTCGTTGGGAAACGGGAACGAAAAGATGTCCAAAAGCGCTTCTCCACGTGGAACACATCGGTGTTGTTCACCCTCACACTAAACCTGAGAAAAACATACAGCACATTCAACATACTATTAGTATCTAGAAAGATATGTTTTTTATCTTCACTTGTTAGATAATTATTCAAAATTCTGTTCTTTATTTTCTAGTCTTTTTATGGAGTACATAATTCACAATGATTCACAAGTTTTTCCACAGGAATCATCTTTCATCTAATCCAATTCAACAAAACATAAAAAATATTATATGTGTAGAGGGATAGTACATCTACAGCCCTAAAACAAAAAGACACACTCCAAAACATGTCAACAAACTGTAACACTTCCTCATTTCCAACCACAAATGGAACACTGTACATGGTTTTTTCCCCTCTAGTTGTACTATTGTATCCATTATGCATAAGGTGCGTACCTGGCAGTGGTAGGCCTGTGACCTCCATAGACAAGCAGTGTTTTGGAAGGGCTGTGAAACACCATGGAGTGGCCAGCTGTGGCCGGAGGCTTCCCACCAGTGGGCTGAACTGCCTCCCACCGCCCAGAGCCATGCAGGCCGAACCGATACAGAGAAGAGGAAAACATATCCTCCTCGGTGCGACCTGGAAAATAAGTTGACGTAAGAAAGCCAATCCAAACACAGAAAGCAAAGTGGCACTACTATGTCAAACCCACCTCCAAATACATAGAGATAACTGTCGACTACAGCTGCAGCATGATTAGCCAGTCTGGGAGCTCCATTTGAATTAGAAAAGCCAAGCTGTTGCCAGTCATCCTTGAGCGGCCGGTACATCCAGACATCACTGGCCAGGGAGCCGTTGGCTAGCTCTCCACCAAAGATGACCATATTACCCATATACTCTACAGCTGTGTGGGAATGTCGAGCCACCTGCAAACACAGGATAGAAAGAAACAGAACAGAGGAGTTACAAATAAGTGAGAACACATTTGCATGCGATGCAGTAACTTGATTATAAAACTGTTATTACCACACTTGAGCACTAATGCTATTTCTGCCCTAACACATGTTAACCACATCTAGCATATTTTAAGTGTTTTCATAATATGAAACTGAGACTGAGGTGCTTTTTGCAATGTATTTTGATTGACAACACAGCAAGAGGATTTTAAAAAAATAATAGGCTCTTGTATCTCAATTGTACAAATAATGGAATTACCAGCAGAAGAAACCACTTTTCTGAGACTGGTATATTCCAACTTGAGTTTAAGCAACATTTCTGCGAATTCTGGCTGTGTTAAAAGGGTTTCTCTAAAAACATTCTCCACATGAGAGAAACTAGGTTTGCTGCTTACATTACATTGTAAAGATCAGTTTACTGTGGACAACTCATAGTAACCAGGTCACTTGCATGCATGGTAATTGAGCAACGGAGTTGCAAAAAGAGGAAGAAGCTAAATAGATGCATGTTGGAGTGTATATCCACTAACCACTTACAGGAGAGTGACCGTAAGACCTGCTTTCCCATTGGTTGGATGTAAAGTTGTATTTAATCAGGTCACCGAGAGCTCTGTTCAGATCAAATCCTGCAGGGAAGATAAGTAAAAACACTTTCAAATACCATCAAAGAATACGAGTCAAATAGAGGACAGAAGAAAAAAAAACAAAAGACAGTAATATTATGTTTGGCAGGGCTCCAGACTAACATTTTCACCGGTGCGACAAACTTCCTCATTTCGCCCTACTTCCTACTTCACAGGCAAAACATATGACTAGCTGAACATTTGCTTATCAATAGACACTACAATTTAACGATGTTGCCTAAACGCCCCACAGTGCAGACTGCAGTAGCTGCTGCTAGCTGCTGGCAAATTACATTAAAAATAGGTAGAATAGTTCCAGTGCCACATTTGTCCAAGATGAAACTCAGTGATTTTTTTCTTTTCTGTGCACAGAAAAAACAGGGAATGTAAGTATGCTCTGTTTTTCAAGAGAAGATCGAATTTGTAAGCGTAAATACGGCAGTACACTCGAGATATGACAGTACTACTTTACACCACTGTGGTTAACACAGCAGCTTCCTGTGATGGTTACAGCGACACTAACGCAGCTTCATGACCATCATGCACTCAGACCAATGCGACCACTTGAAATTTGAACTCGCACACTTTTTAAAAAGGTTGCAAACATGTTCAAAATGATCGCAGTATGGAGTCCTGTTTGGTAAAAATCTAACCTTTAAATCAGTGGTTCTCAAACTAGGGGTCGCGACCCCAATGGGGGTCCCAAGATAACTTCAGGGGGTTGCCAGATCATTGTAAAAAAAATCGAATAAAGCCTACATTTATCAAATAAATCTGTATTAGGGCTGTCAAAATTAAAAGTGTATACTTCTTCCCACTCCCTTTTGTTATTATTATGATTTGATTATGTGATATTATTACTCTTTTTTAATGCTCTTTTTAAAATAATTTTCTTTCGTTTTTATATTTTTTTCCCTTTCGTTTGTTCGAAATATATTCAATTCATTCAAAAGAAGATTAACATGTTAATGTAAAGAGATTAATCTGTGGAATGAACACATTAATTTTTAACATTAATGCATGAACAACACAGTTATTACTCATGCCATATTAAAAATTCAACTTGGGGGGGTCACAAACACAAACTTATGTTATGCTGGGGGTCGTGGCTCAAAAAGTTTGAGAACCACTGCTTTAAATGGAAGTTATTTTTAACTGCTAGAATTTAGTTAGAATTAGTTAGAATTTCATAAAGCCACAAAAGAATGAAAGACATCTAACTTAGAGGTGTGTTAAAAAGAGCATGGAGGTTGAATTTGAATCTGACAGTATGCCACTCTCACCGCCAAACAAGTACATGGCTCCAGTGGAGGACAGGTACACGCCAGCAGAACCAGTCCTGGGAGGTGTGTAGGGGTTTTCCTCACTTACGTGCCACCACTGCCCTGCCCCACTGTCATCATGGAGACCAAGCTGGCAGCTGTGCCCCAGGAAGCCTGGGTTACACAGACAGCGCTCTCCTTTCTGAGAGAAAAACACGGAAAGTAAATTATCAACTTTTCATGAAACAGCACAACTACCTGAATAAGTCAAGGCTTATCTAGTGAAACACAAGTGACCCTTCAGACTGTGGTTATTAAATATCCCCTTTCTTGACGCTCACCTTGTCACAATGGCCATTCACAGAACAAGTCTGGGAGCACAGAGGAGTTGTACAAGACGCTCCTCCCCAACCCTGATGACAGTGGCACTTTAAAGTCGAGGAATCACAGCGGCCATGACCGCCACAGGCTCCAGGGCACAAAGAGAAGGTGTACGTAGCATTGAAACCCAGAAGGTTGTAATTAGCATCACTGAAGAGATGAAGCAGCATCTGGAACAAGGAAATTGAACAGTGAGCACAAGTCATATTTGCTTTCGACAGACTGCAAATGCTAATTAGACTGGAGTTTAGTTTATGATGTCTTAATTGGTTACCTTGCCAGACTTGGCTTCAATGGGCTGAGGCAAAGTGTTGCCACTCAGACTGGCTAAAAGAGGGCTCTGGTAGGAGTCTCCATCATACACAAACAGGTAGTCATAGGTACACTCCGTATCCATGAAGGTGAAATTCAAGACAATGCGGTGGTTGTTGCTGGGAGCTGGAAGACAGTGAAATGGTGGTGACTATCAGTGTGGTTAAACGAAACTAGCAATCATTCCTGCTGGAAAATTACTCATCTAATGGGTGTAAGTTACTCGCTAACAACCAGTTTTGCACTCGTTCTACCTTTGATAAGCCACTCGCAGTTCCCGTTGACAGAGTAGTTTCCTGGTCCATCTGTGACATAGCCCGGTGGTCCCCTGAACACCTGCCTGTGGCCCTTACAGTCTCCTGCTTGGCACATAGGTGATTCCGCCACCAGCAGAACCACCAGGATGAAGGAGACAGGAAGGGGGGAGGCCATCACTGGCACTGCCTGATGGCGAGAGGGGAAAAAGGGTGGAGTTGAATTGGCTCTGATGTGACTAGACAGATCACAACCTTAAATACCGGTCTGGGGGGTAAACACTGTTGTAAATGTGTGGTCCAATCTCTCAGATATGACTATCTGATCTGCTACAAATTAACTATGCTAGCTGGATAGAAACAATTGCTTCTAATGGAAATCCAAAAGTCATGCAGTGTGCTGGTCCTCTAAGTAACTTCGTTTGGCCCTTGCAATGCACCACCCTCAATTTCCTTCTTGCAGTCTGACCTCACTTGCAAGAGTCTATGCGACACTTGTGTAAAAGGACATGCCATTCACACTGCACGACTAAAAAAACTTACAGATGACCAACTTGCGATGCTTACTGGGCATTGCAAAGCTCAGGGGCAGCTTCAGGAGAAGAAAACAGTATTTCGGATGCAGCTAACTGTTAGCCCTACACACACTTACATACATGGTAGCTTGCAAACGTTACCAGTGCAACACTCAAAAAAGCAATCACGACATGAAACGACGTTGCATTACATACAAAAATCCTTCCTAACACATCTTTGTTATTAATGTCGTTTCTTACGTGCAGCTGGCTCTAAGATAACACCTCGAATTAGCAACAAGGGGCTCTCCGCAGGCTATCACAACAAAGCTAACGGAAAGGGTCTCTAGGCTAAGCTAGCTAACAAAACAGCGTTAAAAGCCGGGGGGCCGTTAGCTTGGTCAGTAACCACATTTGCAACATACTCACCAATTCCCGTCTCTTTGGCCGCATGGTAATTTACATTTTCGGTGGTCCTTTATACGTTAGCTACCACACGAGCTAACGTATCGCTTGTAAGGGCTGGAAAAAACTGACAGCTAGCTAAATTAGCCAGTGGCTAGCGACTCGGACTCACTGCGGAGGACGACCAGCGACTGGAACTACAACACGGTGCGCTAGTTCGTTAGCTAGCTAGCTAGCTAGCCGTCCAGATGCGCAGTCGTCAGTGGCTGCAGAGTCAACCAGGGTAAGTCATTCCTAAGAGTAATTCTTTATTATGTAATAACGACCCTAAAACTACGAAAGTACGCCAATGAGAAATGCTGCCAGCCAGCAACGAAGCGTTCCAGCAGCACCGACAAGCCTCCTGCGGTCCATGTTAGGGACGGACGCCGCTGTTTTGGTGTTTATGGCTGGATACCCGTAACCGGTGGTTGCCAACACAAAAGAAAGCGCTGTGAGGGGCCTGTGACAGCACTGCCATCCAGCGGAGATGGGAAGTAACGCGCAAACATCTGGATGCAAACCACACACAGGCAATATTAGAATTCTACAATATACAGTCGTCCTCAAATGTGTTCATACCTTTCCATTAAAGAAAAGACAAAATTCACAATCATCACGCAAATAACTAGACACTGAAAAAAGTAATAATAAATAAAAATTTGCTAAATTATAATTTAGTGAAATAAGACATTGCCTTTGAATTGTGATTGAAAGGAAACATTTTTTTAAAAAAAAACAAAAAAACAAAAACTGTCCCGGAAAAATTAAATGAGCAGTGATTGGCACAAAGGGTTGTTCAACAAAATATTAGTTTATGGGTCCCATCATGTTTTTTATATTATTATTTTTATTTTTTTAAATATTATTTTTGTTGAACCACAATTAAAAAGCAATGTCATGATTTTTATTACATTTTTATTTATTATTATTTTTGTCAATTTCAACTTATTTCAGTGACAGCTGTTTTTTTCCCTTCTTTAATGGGAGGGTATGAATATGAGGACGACTGTAGCTGCCATGCAATCCAGTCATCCGTCAAGGAATGTTTACCAAATAGTTCGGCTGTAATTTTGTGGTATCTCAAGTGTCACAGTGTCATTTTTAGAAAACTTCAAGTGGTTCTAATCAAGACACAAAACACATTTGATTTTAGAGCATTTAATTGAAGTGTGTGTGATTTCACAGCCCGAGAGCAGTCGTAGTCGTATACCCACAAGATCCCAACGTTTGAGCAACAAAATCATATAAAAGCAGTCAAGCAATTCATTAAAACTAAATGTTTAAGCATAAAGACGGTTCATTCTTTCAATTTCAAAATAGAAATAAAATCTCTCCAAATGCATTCAAACCAATAAACACCATAACATCCCCAAAAGTACAAAAGAAAGCAATTTAAAATACGTTTCTACCAAATCTTTTTTTTAAGGCGTCTTAGACATGAAGGGCTGAATGTCCTGAAACATAATCACAAATTAAGAGAGGCTGGTTAATTAGCTCTTAAAACATCATCATGATCAGCCATGCTGCTCCTTATTTCAGTGTAATTATCTACTCTTGTCTATCCCCCCCTCCCATAGTAAAAAAAAAGATTGTTCAATCCAGTTTTCTTCAGCAAAGGCACAAGGGCAAAACTAATCTCCATCATTCTCTACTGACCCTGAAAAAAAGTCAGTGTCATGCCTTGATCACATCTCAGTCTCTGCAATTCACTGTGTGCATGAAAAACTCTAAGAAGTTACATTACATATGTATCTTTGGCTTTCTTATTTTGCTGTCCGCATGCTTTAAAGTTGATTTTAAGCAATACACTTTTTCAAGTGACATTTCTGACATGTATTTCTAACTTTACTCTTAAAGTCAACAACATCCTTTTTATGTTCATCCGTAATCTGATTTTTAGTGTGTTGTCATTGTCGGATTTCAATCTTTTAATAAATGTTCTACATGAATTTAGAATCACTCCTGTTGAAATGTGTTGTCCAATTTATCTTGATTGTTAATCTTTGGCTATTATGACGTGTGTACAGCAATTTTTCCCGGAGCCAGAACCATGGGAGTGGAATGAAGCCCGGGTCCAAAAATAGGAAACATCTTTTCCTCAAATTTGTGCGTAAGAGTGACCAAGTGCTTTGCTGTGCCCCCGTCAAAGAAAGACACCTCTCCTTTATCTATATTCAGTTTGATGCGAATCTTTTCAGGACGCTGCTGCACCTGCAGCTCTGTGCGCTCAGCTGTCAGGACGGTATACACCCCTTTGCTCAGTGCTATGGCCCACACGCCACGATTCGTCGAGACTGTGAACTTCTTTTTACGGACCAATGACTCCTTGCATACCCCCACAATCCACTTAGGGTTGTCACCAAGAATGATGTCCCATTTGTGTTTTCCAGAGGTGTAACCTTCAGCACCCAGGACGAAGACGCAGGGATCAAAGCGCTCTGGGTTGTCGGGGGCGGTCAGACGCTCCGAGCTTTCCTTCATACTAGTCAGGTTGGCACTCAAGGACAGCCACGGGGAGGCAGTGTTTGGGTCCAGAACCACTGGATCTGCACACACAGGAAGAGACAAGGCATCACAGGGTCACATGGCTTCATGAAAGAAAAATGTTGTCAGTATAACATTGCAGGATGATGGTATGTTGTGCCGTTTGCCATCTATTGAAGTATTCTGAGAGTGGTGTTTGAAGTAGACGATGCTGTTTCAGTCCTTAAAACAACAAGCTACTCCCACCATGCAATGTACTCACAGTATTGGATGTGAGCCTGCATTCTCTTCCATATGTTGAAGCCCAAAGAACCAACATGTTTGCCCATGTTCAACAGAGAGTCTTCACGAAGGCTCGGCTCAGGAGATATCCACTGGGCTCTGGAGCAGAGACACATTTCAGAATCAGAATCAGAAATCCATCCATCCATTATCTATACACCGCTTTATCCTCACTAGGGTCGTGGGGGGGCTGGAGTCTATCCCAGCCGACTTAGGGCGAAGGCAGGGGACACCCTGGACAGGTCAGAATCAGAAATACTTGCTTTATTAATCTAAGTGCTGTCATACAACCAGAGGAAGGTCATTGATGTGTGATGTGAGTTTGATGGCACTACAAACAATCAATGTATCGTTATTAAGTATTTTTTCAAAGCATTTCCTTTCGCCGTCGTGACTTGTTGACGGTCCGTGAGCTCCAGTCTGGCAGCCGGCTGCACGTAAAGATCAATGTAATTCATAAAGAACGGAGGACGTCTCAGTTTGGGGGGAAAAAAAAAGAAGATATTGGCCGGTTGTAGGTTGTGGTCTGTGTCACAAGGTTTGGAAAGAGGTGCCATTTAATATCGCTTTGGAGTTATTCATGGCGGAAGTTCGAATCTTTGAATATCTTTCCAACTTTACTGAACTCTGGAAGTGACATTGGTGAAAACAATTTAATGCATGGGAACGAGACAATAAGTCGTTACCTCAAGATAATAACACATGGTAACGAGTTACTATGTTGTTACTACGCATTATCTCGAGGCCACAAGTTAAATTACCGCATTCCCACGTGTTATTAACGCTTGGTAATGAGTTACTATCTTGTTACCACGCATTATTTTTTTTTCTCTATGGCCACTCAGGGGTTCTGTAGCTTCCTTTTGTGACAACATGGAAAAATCTAAAGAAACCAACCATGGCAGCATCATGCTGTGGGGGTGTTTTGCTGCAGGAGGGACTGGTGCACTTCACAAAATAGATGGCATCATGAGGAAAGAACATTATGTGGAAAAATTGAAGCAACATCTTAAGACATCAGCCAGGAAGTTAAAGCTTGGGCACAAATGGGTCTTCCAAATTGACAATGACCCTAAACATACTGCCAGATTAGTTATGAAGTGCCTGAAGAACAACAAAGTCAATGTTTTGAAGTGGCCACCACAAAGCCCTGACCTCAATCCTGTAGAACATTTGTGGGCAGAGCTGAAAAACCAACAAACCCGACTCAGATCCACCAGTTCTGTCAGGAGGAATGGGCCAGAATTCTATCAAACACTTGTGAGAAGCTTGTGGAAGGAAACCCAAAACATTGGACCCAAGTCATACAGTTTAAATACTAAGGAAATGTATGTAAACTTCTGACTCTGAAGAAAGTAATAAAAAAATCTAAAAAAAATTCACTGTCATTATTCTGGCATTTAGCAAATAGAAATCATTTAAGTAATCCTAACTGACCTAAAACAGTTTAGTCTGATTTAATGTCAGATAGTGAGAAAAAAAAGGTTCTGTGTCTTTTTCTACAGTGTATGTAAGCCTCTGGTTTTATAGTACATACTACTTGTGACTGCTCGTGAGTTTTAGTGACTTACTTTCTTTTCAAATCCTGGAAATTCTAAAACACAAGAGAGAGAGAGATTAAGATTTATTTAAAGCAAGTTTTAAAGAGTAATGTCAAACATTCAAACATCAGAGACAAAACAAGCTGCCTTCTCTTACCCGCAGCAGTGGCAGATCCTCGTTGCCGATCTCTTTCTTCATCGTCTCAATGAGCTCGCCCAGAGTGGTAATGTCCTTCTTTGTGCTTTCAATCAGCTTCTCTATTTTAGCAATCTTCTCCTCTTCCTCAGTAGCCAGCGCTTTCAGACGCAGAGCTTCTTCTGTTACAAGCGCCTCGTGGAGTCTCTTAAACTCTGCCTTGATCTGTTTCTCTGCCTGCCCGGCTTGATACTGCGAGAAGAGAAGAGTTTGCACGTACAGTACGCATTAGAGGTGCAACGGTTAATCAATTAATTAACTTGCTGTTTCTGCTTTCTTCACTCCTCTATGAAAGTCAACTGAATATCTTTGGGATTTGGACAGAAGACGTTTGAGAATTTCTTCTTGGGTTTTGTTAAACACTGGTCGACACTTTTTAATTTATGACATTTTATAGATCAAACAAGTAACTGAAGAAAAAATCTTTAGATTAATGGACAATAGTTCAAGGATGGAGTCAGGCAGATGGACTCTCTGGCGTATTATACGAAGTGTGTCAGAAAAGTTCCAGGACTGGTGTCACAATAAATATATTTCAAACCCAAACTACCAGTTTCTCCCTTCAGACCATCAACCAGCACGTCTACAAAGAGATCCTGCGGCTTTTGCGTCGTTCAGTTGTGCGAGAAGAGGCCAGAGTTGTTGCAGGATAAGTCGTGGCTGCTTCACCATGACAACACGCCTGCTCACAATGCCCTGAGCATCCAACAGTTCCTGGCTGAGGAGAACATTGTCGTGCTGGAACAACCTCCCTCCTCACCCCACCTGGCTCTGTGGGATTTTTTCTTCTTGTCCAAGCTTAAGGGGGTAAATGGTAACTGGTCTGCACTTATATAGCGCTTCGCTACCTTAGCGGCACTCAAAGCGCTTTACAATGTTTTGTTTTCATTCACTCATTCACTCACATTCATACAACAGTGGCGACAGAGCTGCCATGCAAGGTGCTGCCTGCCATTGGGAGCAACTTCAGGTTCAGTGTGTTGCCCAAAGACACGTCAACGGTTGAGGGGCCGGGGATTGAACCGCCCACCTTACCATTAGAGAACAACCGCTCCACCACCTGAGCCACAGCCGTCATCAAGGGGACTTGTTTTGAAGACGTGGACGACATCAAGATGGCTGTGACGACGGAGCTGCGGATGAATCCTTCCAGGAGCGCATGGCAGCGTGGCAGAGAAGGCTGGGGAAGTGTGTTAGACTCCGAGGGGATTACTTCGAGGGGGAAAACTTGTAGTTTGGATTTGAAATATATATTTTGTGACACCAGTTCTGAAACTTTTCTGACACACCTCATATGTCTTGTACCTTGTACCTTCTTGTGCAGTATGGAGTGTCTTCTTTGTGTACCACGCATTTAATAAACAACACTCTCTTTCAATTTGTAATGTAGTTTTATTTCCTTGGAAAAGTCCATATGAGGGCCAAATTATGTTACAGATCACTGCAGAGAGGCTTTTCCTCCAGAGGACAAAGGTCAAGATGAGGCACAGAGCCGTGTCAATGAAACTGAGCAAAGGGAGGTATGAATCTGCCTGCTTCAAAGAATGAAAATGTCTAAATGCAATGGACCAGGGTTGCAGCTCGTATGTTAAAAAAAACAGGTTAATGATTATACATAGATAAATGTCAGTAACTTTACCTTGATGTATTCCACTGCATTGCTGAATTTGTGTTTCATTTTCTTGTATGATTCCACTTTCTTTTCAAAAATCTGGACTTTGAAGTTAAGCTCCCTCTGCAAAGGCATCAACAAACAACATCAGTATTAGAGACACAACATCTTGGGTTTTGTTTTTAGACTACTGAGGGGGGAAAAGCCTATAAGAAATTAGCAGAAAGAGTGGACTGAGACTCTGGGTATCGCTAGATCAGTGTATACACAAACCTATGACAGGGACGGTGCTTTGAAAATATAGGAGTACAGAAAAATAAGTGTAATAACCTCATGTGAAATTTCTGCTTTTCTTCCTTTGATGCCAGATAATGTTCATGTGACTCACCAGGATTAGTTGTAATTTAAATTCCAACCTGTATGCTAATTTGCTAACGTACAGAAAGTTATTGGAAAATATTCGCGATCGTAGTAGAATTGGTAGTTGGGGAGACATTTGGTGAACTTTGGAAAGGCGAGGACTACCTGTTATGTCTCATTTTATTCAAATCTAGATAAAAAAAATATTTAAAGCACTACAGTATTGAATTTGCCAAACTTATGACCACCTAGGTAGACAGATTACAGTCCAGCAGACCTGAAGTAAATCCTCCAACCAACACATTGCGGAGGTTATAGTTTCCGTGTGTTGTGCCATAAATTAATCGCTGCCGAAAACTGATTATGCACTTCCTGTTGAAGCCATTGTCCAGTAAATAAAAATCCACATCTGCTTTTGTCTGGGTCAAACAGTCATAACTTCATGTCTGTGGTTACAGCAGAAGTGTTTGAGAAACTTTAATGATTCTTCTAACACAATGATTGTAACCAAAAAAATGTGCAGTTTATAGAACAATCAGGCATTACTTCAGGATGATTATAGGCAACACTGGTTTATGTAAACCCATGATTTATGGATTGGGTTTAAAAACTGAGAATTCACCTCTTTCCCAGTGAGCTACAGTCTTTAAAATACAACCCTCATGAATGAAATCAAGTCATTTATAACATTTCAGACGTCACTTTTTGTCAAGCGGAACACATTATATGTCTTGAAGGTTGTTAGTTTGTCCTTAAATTTTTAAGAAGTCAACAAATTGAGTTGGTATCTACTTTTAAATATCTAGGATTTTTAAGTGACAACCATTTGTCCTTTAAGGAGCACATCTGGTATGTGGTTAAAAAAAAAAAAAAACTCTTGTTAGGATTTTATCGAGTCTTGTTCTTCTTTATGTGTGAAACAGAAATTGGTGGAAACAACTTTTTTTTTTGCCTGTTATTGACTACGGAGATGTGGTGGATATGAAGGCTTCTGATAATTGTCTTTGCGTGCTGGATAGTGTGCACCACAGGGTGCTGAGATTCATTATCAGATGTGGTCACCTCACTCACCGCTGTGTACTCTAAAGTTAATCAGACATCTTTAAGTTCCCGACATCTCAGTCACTGCTATGTGTTTATTCACAGAACCATTCTGGGTATCGTTCCTTCCTATTTGTCTTGTCTTTTAACAAGAAAACATGGAAGTCACAATCTCCGATCTATGGAAACTCTGCAATTTGTCGTCTCCAAAGTATGATCTGAAGTGGGCAACACAGCATTTAGGTTTTCTGCCCCTAATGCTTCAACTTCAACTTCAAGCCCTTGTTACACTGAGTGAGTTTAAAGTTCGGGTAAAATCATTACAGTCTACCTTGTCTGTTACATTTGATCTGCTGTTTATTGTTTCTGATGTGACCCTGCTGCTGCCCTCTTGACAAGGTCTGCCTTGTAAAGGAGACCTCTGATCTCAATGGGACTAACCTGGTTAAACAACTGATAAATAAAAGTGGTGCTTTAAAGCTTTATCAGCTGGTAAACTGAACTGGATTAGTTATACTTTAAGGCACAGAGCAGAAGAATTCTTGAAGAGACATAAGAACAACTGCTCCCACAGTTTTTGGCACAGCGGCCAAAGGTCTGTCTACACCAACTGCGTAATGTTGAGTTTCACTGTTAAGTCTTTTTAAACGTTGACTTTCTTTTAGTCTACAAACGTAAAAATGAACTATTTTTTCTCTTTCCTGGTGTAAAGCTGAGGTGACGCCCAGTCAGAACAGGTCAGATCACTCTACCTTGCATATTGGCGCTCCGTCCTTGAGCGACAGCAGCCTGTGCATGTTGTGTTGGCTGACACAGTCCACGCACACGGGCACCTCGTCCTTCTCACAGTACAGCTCCAGCGGCTTCAGGTGCAAGTTACAGGTATCCTCGCTGGGCCGCTCCTGGGTCGGTTTGGGTCGGTGCGTCTGCTCGAAAGTCTCGCAGGCGCTATTGAGCGCACGGTTGGTGATGGCCTGTCCGTCTTGGAACGCCGCCCTGCACACCGCGCACTTCTTGCTAAACTTTGCGATCCCCTCCAGACACTCCCGGCAGAAGCTGTGGGAGCAGGGCAGCAGCATGGGGTCCCTGAAGATGCCCTGACACACGGGGCAGGTCAGGTCCCGCTGGAGAGACGTGGTCTCCATTTCCTCATCCACATTATCCGCCATGGTTCTCAGGGCCCTCTTCAGTTTACTTTCGTTTTCAGCAACAGCGACGGAAGGCTCTAATGCGGTGTGTAGAGGCACCACTGTTTGCCAAGACTATAGAAAAAAAAGGACTTTCAGGAGCTGGCAGAGAGTACAAAACGACCTGTGAACTGTAGCTCCGCGTATCTGTTCCCTCGATTCCTGTTCCGTGTTTCTGTGACAGGCAGAAAACTTGATCAGGGATTTTACAACACTGCCCCCTCACGGAGGCTTGGAAGAGAAGTGATGATGCGCAGTTCGTGCAGTGGCGGTTCTAGACAAATGTTAGTGGGGGGCCAAGGTGGGGCCAGTGTTTCATCACAGGGGCATCTCTGGCATAAGGAGCTAGTGGGGGCACAACACACTGTCCAGCTATAAGCAGCATCTTCTGGTGCAAACATACAACCTAAGACTGATCTGTAGGAATTTCTTGAATGCAATATCCCAGTTGTTTTTTATTTTTTATTCTATATTTTCTATTCTTCATCCTTTTAGTCGTGTAAATACGCCACCACCCCCCGAACTGTACAGTCTTTTTTAATTTATTTTTTTTAATACTATGTCTTGTGCACTTTTTGTCCTGATGTTTTGCTCTGCCTACAAGAGCTGCTATTTCAAATTTTGTTGTGTTTTCTTTGCACAATGACAATAAAGAGAGTCTGATTCTATTAAATGAGCCACATGAAATGACAAAATCTACACATTTTTTTTCACATCAACGTAGTTCAAGAATAAAACCTATTTTTATGCATAGCATGAAAAATAGTCACTAAAAAATGTCACTCACCAGTGTTGTTCTGGCAAAGTGCTAAATGTAGCCGTTATCAAAGAATCTGCTTCATTAATTTGTTTATTATTTTTGTCTTGTTCGCTACCATCTGCCAAAACTGCACATGTTTATTACGTCTTGATGTTTGTCATTCCAATATTTTGACTGGATGACTTCGGCTTGGGGCCACAGTAACTGTGTCCCGCGGCTGTCCACGGAGAGCAGTTTTGGACACCACGATTTCAGCAGTTCATCACTCAAACCAACACTGATGGGCCGGCCCTGTTCTCAGGTGCATCAAGAGGAGTTAAGCTACTTGTCGGCTTTCTGTGGACGAAGCTTTTGGACTATGCATAAATGTTTAGAACGAAATCGTCTTGGTAACATAGTTGGTCTTTTTAGATTATTATTATTATTGATGAAATATTCTTTATAGATTATTACTTTATAAAGACTGATTTTTTCCACTTAATTATTTTAAGCCAGCATAGAGCTCCACAGCGACATCTGGTGGAGCCTCACTGGCCCCAAATGCAGAGACGTCACTGCACAGGGGCACTTTAAAAAACGACAACAATGATATTTAGGCGCTAAAAACTTTTACTTACTTTAGATTAAAATTAAACAAATGTTTATTTTTTTTTAACAAAAAATACATCAACTAAAACAATGAGGTTATCATGGCCAGTGCTGAAATGTGCAACATTGGGAACATTTCAGATCAGTCACACGAAACACCAGTGGTTTGGTTTTCTGCCACCACATCCACTATCGCTACAGCAACAGGATACGGTGGTTGTGCTGTCTGGCATACTGGTCGTGAAATATGTACTCAGGACACCAAGATTTGCTGAGTCGATCATCAGAAATGGTGGACCGCAGGAATGTTTTTATCAGTTTCAGAGTGCAGAAACTGTGTACGCAGGGGGCAGAGTTAAAAAACAAAAAAACAACTTCTCTGTATGGCTCAATGAAACAGATCAGCTCGACTGTACTGAATGGCTTTTGTATGTCATCACTCTGTATTTTTAGATCCATGTTCATGTCCTAAATCATCAATGTTTGCATTGTACAGGCGGCCAAATGAAAACACAGCGCTGTCCTTTAAAAAGCCATCAGTCTGGGGGCTGAGAGCATAGAGCCACATTAGTTTTGGTTTCGGCGCTCGTTATGAAGCGATCAGTTTATTACTCAGTCAGCACAGGGGTCAGCCACATTTGGACAGAGGCACTGGCTCCTGCAGGGCCCTGTGTAGAACCGCCACTGAGTGGAGATGTGCAGATTTACACTCGTCTGCACATTTGTCTGAGAGAGAGAGAAAAAAAAAAGCTTTAATGATGTATGTACAGACTCTACCGTAAATAGAAGTACATTAACTTTTCTCTACATATCCATTAATAATCCCATGACACCACTTCAATACAAAACTACTTATACATTTACAAATCACTTATTGTACATTTACCTGACTGACACCAGTGACTGTGTCTTATTATCATTTGCACTTTATTTCAACTTTATTAAACTCTTTCACGACCCCATACATTTGATATATTTTATATGTTTTCTATTATCAGTTTTTGCAGTGGTCCTGGGGTTGAATTTTTTGCTTTTCTTTGCCCCCTTTTTTTTTTAAATAGCTGTGTAGGATCTTTGAAAAACACTAAGTTATCCCAGTTATCTCATAGACTAATCCGCATAACAGTGATTCAATCCTTCACAGGTTATTTTGCACCAAATCCAGCAGGCGGCACTACGGTGCCATCGTGTGTCTGCTGTAGGATTGCTGTGATATACCACATTGAAACTCATCATGTCATTGCGTGACTTTGTTTGTCCTTTAAAGGATCTTAGCGACCATTTAAAACAGGAAGCAAAACAGTGCAGCTCAGAATAACCACAAAAAAAAAAGCATGGTTGCTGCCTTGGACAGTGTAAAGTGGAAGAAATCAGACCCCTTCCTCTTTCTTCCTCTTTTTTGTGGCTCTCTTGCAGATGTCATTTTCATTTCTGGCCTTTAACCTACACTCAGTCTTAACGATGAAGCAAGAACCAAGATGTTATTAAATTTTTTTTTAAAAATACATTAATAAAAAAAAATTCTCATTTACAAAAGTATTCAGATCCTTTGCTGTGACAAAGTGTGCCACAGTGAAGGGTCTGTGCTCTGAATTGTAGTATTTTTTATTAAATATTTTCAGTCTACTACATTTTTGTTCATAGTATATTTCACACTGTTATGCATTTTGTATCTTCGTATATTTTCTGTATTATATTTCTATTTTATATATTTGTACTGTGGTGGTGGTCACTTTACTCTTTCTGCTTGCTTCTGTCACAACAGAATTTCCTCTTGGGGATCAATGAAGTCTTTCTATTCTATTCTATTCTATTCTATTCTATTCTATTCTATTCTATTCTATAGATGGCTCTAGAACTCACTGGCCAATTGAAATAAATAGTGTTTGAAGGCATGCACAGGTATATCGTTCACACTTCCCATCAGGAAGTGCTTGTAAAATTCTATACACCTCTATGATAAAACAGTGACAAGACATAGCAAGGGTATGAAACCATATCTCAAGCTTTGACTCCTCCCAGGAACACACTGGCCCTAATAACTGTGGACTGGAAGATATTTAAAACCACCAGGGCCAAACTGAGTAACTGAGCAAGAAGCGCCTCAGTGAGGGAGGTGACCAAGAACCTGTGGGAGAACCATCTCAGTAGCACTGCATCAATCTGGCCTTTATGGTAGAGAACTAGAGGGAGCCAAAGTTAAAAAAAAACAAAAACAAAAGAAGAAGAAGAAGAAAAGAAACACATGGCAGCCCAGTTGGAATTTGTCAAACAGAGCTAATCTGAGAGTATGAAGCCCTGAACGGAAATCAGAGCAACAATGTCTGGTAAACACAAGGTCCAGGGATAAACTGCACCAAATCCAGGTTTACAAAGTGTGATGACCCCTGAAGTCATCTTCTGAGTGGTTCTAGTTTGTCTTATGGGTTCTGTGAGTGGCTGTTTGATGTAATCAGGGGCACCTGTGGTTACTCACGGGCTGACTGCAGTCTCATCACACTCTTCTTCCCTCTGCGGGTAACACACCAGTCTGGTTATGCTTAGCTTTCTTCATTTAGGATGTTTGCATTACAACACTTGCGCAGTCATAATTCATGCAGACATAACACACACCGCTGACGAGGTATCCTCACAACCCCATACTGCAGGGGTGTCAAACTCTGGTCCTCGAGGGCCGCAATCCTGCAATTTTTAGATGTTTCCCTCTTCCAACACACCTGATTCAAATGATCAGCTCATCATCAAGCTCTGCAGAAGCCTCATAGCGATCCTGATCATTTGAATCAGGTGTGTTGGAAGAGGGAAACATCTAAAACTTGCAGGATTGCGGCCCTCGAGGACCAGGATTCGACACCCCTGCCGTACTGGTTTGCCTTTTCATTTGGTATAATTGAAATGAATAAAGATGAGCTTTAATTTTTGAAACTTGGTGCATCTCTCCTTTTGTTGCAGCCGTCTTGAGCCGGGTCGTAACACAAAGCCTGTATCTCAAAAGTATCAAAACTGTTACTGCGACCTTTTACAGATGAACGAAATAAAAGTCAGAACACTTTCATAAACTGTCTTTTCATTATCTGTGTTGTGGTTAAATGTACTGTCTAATATCGTTTGAGCAGGCACAGTCCTCCTCTCATACACCCCCTTATTTTCCATGTATTTAGTGAGTTCATATATTTGTATTAATGAGGAATTTCCAGAAGATGTTCAGAAACACTTTGAAGTTTAAAGAGCACATTAGGAGGCCATTTTGATTTGAGTGGTTCCTGTGTCCTTCCTCCATCTAGAGACAGCCGTCATTGTTTTCTCTGATTTTTGAAGTGTGGTGTATGACTTCACTCTGATATTTAGACAAAACTTTTTAACAGAACACGTGAAGGAGGCTTTACATCTTTGTTCTCACGTTAGCATTTATTTTCAGTATTAGTTTTTGTTACTATGTAACTATATAGGCTGCACTGCTAAAATATAAAGGGTGTAAATACTTTCTGTGACATTCGCAGCACCAGACGTCACACAGGAAATCCACACTGGTACTGTGGTTTCTGTCTTTTTTGAAGTACTGTTGCGCAAATCTTCTTATTTTTTTTTCTTTTTCTTTCTCCATGAGAGAAATTTGCTCTTCCGTGGTGGTTTGTACATACGCTGCATAAGAGAGGTTTCCCAAACCACACAGACAATTGACAATGATAATGGATCACAACTAAAGAAAAATATTCATTGTATAGTATAGGATTCAAATAAAATACTGTGTATACCCATGGTAGCCATCCCTTTGTCTCTCACATGAGTTGAAACTACTAAAAATAAGTTTATTGTACACAGTAAAAAACATAATAGCAGCT